GTTTCTTGATGTATTGTTAACTCGTATGGTAGATGGCTCGATCCAACGTCAAGTCCACAGGAAAAAAACCTGGAGTGGATAGCATACGGAATTCCATAGTTCTGTTCCTTTGAAATACAAGCGAAACCTAATTCGCTATCTAACCACAAGGGACCGCAGGATTTATTCTGAAGACACGTTGGATACTGGGTTGGGGTTCATTCAAAATGTGCTGCGCGAAAACAGGTATCCTGATCGATTCATTCTTAAGAGCATGCACGACAAACCCGACCCGGTGCAGGTTCCAACAGCTGAGAAGAAAGAACTTTTTATAAGATTACCTTTCAAAGGAGACGCAGTCGCCGAACGTGTAGCCAGAAGTCTTTCAACAGCAGTTAAATCAACTTTTCCAGCTGCTAAGCTCAGGTGCACTTTCTCAACGGAACCACTCATTCGTATCTGCAACAAAGACAAGCTGCCGATGCTGACCGTTTCTATGTCATTTATCAGTTCGAGGGCGCCTGTGGCGCTACTTACATCGGTCGAACGGCACGGCACTTGTCAAAGCGCATTAATGAGTACCTTCCGCGCTGGTTACGCCGAGGTGGTACCGGGGCTATAACTAGCTCTGCTATGGCTTACCTGGTTGACAGTGGGCATGAAGTCGACCCAATCCGCGCCGTTCGTATACTACACAGTTCCGCCACTCCAATCGAAAGGCCTGCGCCTCCGCACCCTCGCTACAGCCGAGGCGATCAGTATCCGGTTGTATCAACAGCTTTGTGCTCACAAAAGAAACTTATCGAAGCTCTTAAGCTACCCTGGCCAGATAAACTGGACGATTCGGAGGCCAGGAGCAATCGTTTGACAACATTGTTGCCCTAGTTTGCGCTTATCGTTTACGTTTATTGTTGGTTTACGCCACCGGTTGGCACGTGCTCTAATTTCATTTGCACTGATCGAAACCACTGTTACGCCAATTGCTCTTGTACCCATATGATTGCAAAGGTCTAACGATGAAAATTATTCACCTTCGGTCCCTTGTTCTTGATGTCAATAGCATTACAAAGTCGACAAACTAGTGTTGAGGGGATGGCAGTCAGCTGTGTAGTAAAGGAATATATTCTTAAGTTCATGGCTGGATTGTCGAGCAACCTTCTCGTGGTGTCAGCTGGGCGGTTCGGGTATTTCCCGTTCCGGCGAATGGTTCGGCGGCAGGGTTCCAGGACGTAGTGGGTTTACATCTGGCAAGCATTCTCCTTATAAAAAGCCACAAGTGTCTGCTTAACAACACTGCGACGTGGCGGATGTGACTCGTCACTAAACAGTCACTGCCCCTTGTCTTCCTCGAAGATATGGTATACCGGCAAGCGATCCAACCGTCGGATCGTGCCTTTAACTTCGGAAGTGTTTGGCCCCCGGCATGGCTTTTCATCATCCGAAAGGCGTATAAACTGAATACTCAGTCATCGGCTCCTAATGGGTGCGAAACCCTTATTTCGCCCTGCTGCCTTGTAGGTTAGGCCCTTTGGCCAAAGGCTCTGGGCCCCTAAGACAACACACTTTGGCTTAGGTAACCGCGTAGTATCTCGCCTACTGTAAATGAATTTAGCAATACTCGCTGGCTCTGCTAATGGATTGCTCTTCTGCTACTGATACTATTACTTCTCAATCACACGCCACCTACTTAGCTACAATTCCTCTGCATCATCGTCATCCGCTTTCGTCTAACCCCTCATCTATGAACAGCATCGCGCTCTCTGATGAAACTGTCGCTATACCAACCACACACCTCCAAACCGAGGTAAGACAATCCCATACTCTCCCCTCTCCGCTTCTTCAACACAAAACACAGTTCAATTTGGGAGCGTTCAAGGTGCGTACCCTAATGCAGATTGGACAACAAGCCGGTCTCGCACGCACACTAGAATATCTTGCAACAGATGTGTGCTGCTTATCTGAAACCCGACTCCAAGACTCTAACACAGTTTACCAACTGTCTTTACCCGTTCACCCATACACTCGTTTCCTACTTCACCTTTCTAGCGACGCCGAATCCACTGCAGCTGGGCAAGCTGGTGTTGGGATTCCCCCTAGTTCTACAGCCGAAGCAGCCCTTCTTGACTGGATTCCCACCAACAGTCGCCTCTGCGATATGCGACTCCAAGGCTCATCCAAAGATAACAGGGGTCAAGAAGACAAACGCGATCTTTTTGTTATCTCCGTCTATGCGCCCACTGATTGCAGCCCGGATACAAAGACCTATTCTAGCAGAACTTTCATGACTTACTTCTAATGGCCCCCAAAACGGACATGGTTTTTATGGGGGGAGATTTCCTAACGCGCGTTGGTTGTTTGCTGCCAAGCGAACGCCATCTCAGAGGTCCGCATGGATACGATAACGCTCTCTCGAATAATGAAGAATGGCTGCGCAGCCTATGCTCCGATCACCGACTTTACTTATGCAACCTGAACTTCCGTCAACTGTGACGCCACCACGTTACCTGGCGTGCTCCATCATAGAAACATTGATTACAGATTGACCACATCGCCGTAAGTCGCCGATGACGAAGCAGTGTTCGATACTGTAGATCTTATTGGTCAACTTACATCGAATCGGATCATGTGCTTGTACGTGCGACGGTGCATGCACTTCAGTGGCTCGCCTAAGATCAAACAAACTCGTTTGCACATTGATAAATTGGAAGAACTTGCTGCTCAAGTGAAATAGCAACGGATGCACCGTGACAATCTCTTTCGTCCCTCATCTGGACGTTGACCAACATTAGCTGCATTTACAACAAGTCATGATTTCTGCGGGTATGTCTACCTGTGGTCTTGTCCATTCAACTGCTAAAAGCTGAATCTCGTTGACATCGTCGGAATGACTTGATCGTCGGCAGTCCATTCCCGTCAGTGTGGAGCAGACTGAACTCCGACGAACCATTTCTCAACGATTAAAAGCAAGTCTTCGCCGCGATCGTGAATCCTGATGGTCCAATCCAGTCACGGAAATGGATGCTGCTGCCGCTTCTGCAAACACGCGCAGAATATTTTACCTCATCAGATTCACTGGATGCAAATCACATGCCATCACTGAGACAATCTGCGCGTCAGATAGTACGAGGATCACTAATCTACGCAAACGTCTGTATCGCTGGAAAGAGCACTTTTCTCTTCAATATACCTATCCGATTCAACCTCCGATGACATCCCCTTTGCTATCTTGTGGTGCATGGCCCGTGTGCACAGATCCATCCACTGAGGCTAACATTCGGGGAAAAATCCAGACCATAAGCGATACAAAGCCTCAGGCCTTGACAGCCTTCTTCCGAACCTATTCAAAAATGGAGGGAATATAGTTATTAGCGAACTGCTCCCGCTTTTCACGAAAGCGTGGATCGATGAGAAGATTCCCAACCTTAGGGCGGATCTCGCGTGGTCCCGATTTACAAGAAAGGTTCCTGCAGCGATTGTACCAACTACCGAGGAATATCACTCATATCGGTCACGTCTAAAGTTTATGTATTCATATCGCTCCGCAAACTTTCAGCTACTCGAGAGAGTTTGTCTCGTGAGGAACAAGCCGGTTTGCGCAGTAGTCGAGGCTGCATCGACCAGATCTTCACACTGCGTCAAATTCTTGAACATCGTCACACACACACACCGAAAATCAACAATAGTGGTGCTTTTATACATCCGTGCCAACTTTGACTCAATAGATAGAACATCACTTTGGAACTACCAGCTAAGAAGCGGGGTACCCGACAAATTTGTCGCAATCCTGAAAGAACTCTATCGTCACACATCAGGCAAAGTTAAAGCTTATGGAAGGATTTTTTTGTCTTTTGCTGTTACCAGCAGAGTACGCCAAGATTGCCCTATCTCACCATCCTTTTTCAACTTTGCCATCAATGATGTTCTCCACTGCGCTCTGGAAGGAGACGAGAGCTGCGGTGTTGAGATCCTCCCCTGGAACAGTTTCGGACCTGGAGTATGCTGATAACATCGCTTTGCTGTGGGAGGACCCACACGCCATCCAAAACGTTTTGAATCGCTTAGCGATCGAGACATCTAAATATGGCTTGTATTTTGTTCCATCTAAGCGCAAAACCGTGCTGCAAGATTGGTAAGTACCGGTGCCAACACTCACAGTTGCAGGTGATTGCCTGGAGCAAGTGAATCGCTTCATTTATTTTGGGAGTTGCATCACGGCGGGTGGCGGTGTTGGAGATGAAGCATCTCAGCGAGTCGCCAAATCCCGCTTGGCGTTCACCGACCTGAGGTACTTGTGGCGCCGCCGCGACCTCAGTCGAAGGCTCAAAAGCAGTGTACAGTGCCACTGTCCGTGGGGTCCTATTGTACGGCTGCGAGATCTGGTCTGTCCGTGTAGAGGATCTGAAACGACTAGCATCTTTCGACAACCGCTGCTTGCGAACGATCACCCGTGTGTGGTGGCAAAAACACGTAAGAAACTCAAAAGTTAGAATCCGAGTATTCAGAGCGAGCAATTCTAGTCTCCAGGGTATTATTCTCGAACACCGTTTACATTGGAGTGATCACATAGTGTGCATGCCAACCGAACGACTTCCTAACCGAGCATAATTTGCAATTCCTGGGCGTGAGTGGAGAAAATGCCAGGGTGGACAACCGATTACGTTGAAGAGGAACATCAAGAATGTCACCGCATGTCCGGGTTCATCAGGATCTATCCGTCTTCCAGTTTGGGGACCATGTGATGGGAACTCCAAATGGCTGGAAATTTTGGATGTTATTGCACGTAACCGAAATCAGTGGCGTCAATGCTGTGCAAACATTTCCATTTCATCCACATATCAACATATAAAAAAACAAAACAAAAACTCAAAACGGTGTGTGTGAAATACAAAAAACAAAAAACAAACAAGTAGAAAAGTCGCCTTCCTTTGTTTTCGAGCTATTTTCGCATAGCATTACAGCCATGGTTCTGATAGCAGATTTGTCAGTTCTCAGACTTGTGAATAAATAAATATATGGCTTACCGGAAATATCCAAACCTGCTTCTAGCAAGACTTTCTGGGCAATTTCACGGTTGGATTCCATCAGAGACACATCGCGCTTCAGTCGAGTCAGCTCCTCGTTTAGCCTATCGAGATTAAGGGACGCGCGTATCAGATTGACTGGAGTGTCCTCTTCATCATCAGAGCCGGAACCGAACAGGGACTGACACACAGTGACAAAGCGATGCAGATGATCGTGATCATCTGAAAGGTAAGTGGTTCAAGAGGCAATAAGTTGAATGAATAGAAGATAAATGGAAATAGAATCGAAGGCAACAATAAATGCATCGCGTCCAGCTAACGTTCCGGACACTCGGGCAGCCAAGAGTTGAACAACAAAGTGGTTCATCGTGAATCAAATGAAGAATGCCGAACAGACAACTGAATCCAATAAGTAGCTTAGTTTAGCTCGTACCTACCTAGTCGCTCACTGATGGTAGAAATACAACAACATAAATCTCAACGCAAGGCTGTGACCAGCGGTCTTATACAAATGTTCTTGGTCCAATGCTGTTTCTAGTACACGTGAATAACATTTTCAACTTGGTTAAATCCGACCTACCTTATGGTGTACCGATGACATTACATAGTTTACTCTTTCCATTCTACCAGTCCTGGTGATACACTTACAAAAATCCACATCGACCTCCAAGCACTTAAAACTGGGTGAACCACATGGAAAATGTCGTTCCCTACTGAAAATTTCATCGCCATATCAACTGCAACTGCAGTAGTAAGCACAACGCCCTGACTGTTGATGATTATTTGTGACTCAGGCTTTCATTACTTATGCCTCTTAAATTCGCAGAATAAGTATATACCACAACAGTTGCGGCAAAAACAGCGCATCGGATTATTATTCAGGAATTTTACCTTAGGTGATTCTGTTCAATGTATGAATCGTTTTCGCGCTATTTAATAGTGGCCGATGATATGTAGCAACTCAAGGAAGCATGATCGCATCGCCATAGAACAAGTTCAGCGAGCATGCACCCAACACTTCAAGACGCCAGCACAACGTTATCCTACTCAGCGATGTGAACCAAGCTCAACCCAATATAGCTACGACGTTTGAAGGACAGCTTAAAGCTGTTTTTTCAGTATTCTCCAAAAAGTATGCACTTCAATATACTTATGTTACTTTAAACGTCAAGCGTATACAATACACGCGGGGGAAAAGGTCAAAGACAAACACATAAGCAGACATTTTCCTGAGTCGATGCTCCAGAATGTGGAAGAAATTGCCGACCGAGATCTATGCCAGCCTATCTGAGTAAATTATCGTAAAACATCATCGACCGAACTCACAAGTTACCGCTTCCTTCATTGAAGGGAATTCACTCTATCGGGGCAAACTCCCATTGTGTGTACCAATTCGTATGTACCTGCCAACCTATTTACATAGACAGAACCAATAGGACTGTGAGTATCCAGATGAAGGAGCACGTTCCGAAGTGGTTCCAACACGAGCTAGCTCAACACGCATGCCCAGCTCAGACTACGTGTTCACATAGGCCGCTGTCATCTTCGATCGGCCAGACATCTATTGATCTCAGGTCACCGGATCGGGGTTAGCCCTTCGTTTAAAGTTCTGCTGCGACATACCAATCCCCGTCTCCTCCGCCTCGCTGAAGCTGTTGTGATAAACCGGAGCTTTGTGTTCAAAAGCAAATATCGGTCAGCCTCAGGTTGTCCTAGACAGAGAGACGTGATTCGCATCTTTCCTTTGCGTTTGTTTGCATGTTTGTAACACTTGAGTTATATTTCAATATAAGTTATCGTGTTCGGCACTGGAAAGATGCTACAAAATACATGCATCGGCCGATCTTCGTCTTTTTAATGT